GTTAGCTATATCACCCTAACCCTGGAGAGACAAGACAGAGGGGTTCAGAACCCAGTCTGATACACCTAACAGTTAGCTATATCACCCTAACCCTGGAGAGACAAGACAGAGGGGTTCAGAACCCAGTCTGATACACCTAACAGTTAGCTATATCACCCTAACCCTGGAGAGACAAGACAGAGGGGTTCAGAACCCAGTCTGATACACCTAACAGTTAGCTATATCACCCTAACCCTGGAGAGAAGACAGAGGGGTTCAGAACCCAGTCTGATACACCTAACAGTTAGCTATATCACCCTAACTCTGGAGAGACAAGACAGAGGGGTTCAGAACCCAGTCTGATACACCTAACAGTTAGCTATATCACCCTAACCCTGGAGAGACAAGACAGAGGGGTTCAGAACCCAGTCTGATACACCTAACAGTTAGCTATATCACCCTAACCCTGGAGAGACAAGACAGAGGGGTTCAGGACCCAGTCTGATACACCTAACAGTTAGCTATATCACCCTAACCCTGGAGAGACAAGACAGAGGGGTTCAGAACCCAGTCTGATACACCTAACAGTTAGCTATATCACCCTAACCCTGGAGAGACAAGACAGAGGGGTTCAGAACCCAGTCTGATACACCTAACAGTTAGCTATATCACCCTAACCCTGGAGAGAAGACAGAGGGGTTCAGAACCCAGTCTGATACACCTAACAGTTAGCTATATCACCCTAACCCTGGAGAGACAAGACAGAGGGGTTCAGAACCCAGTCTGATACACCTAACAGTTAGCTATATCACCCTAACCCTGGAGAGACAAGACAGAGGGGTTCAGAACCCAGTCTGATACACCTAACAGTTAGCTATATCACCCTAACCCTGGAGAGAGAAGACAGAGGGGTTCAGAACCCAGTCTGATACACCTAACAGTTAGCTATATCACCCTAACCCTGGAGAGACAAGACAGAGGGGTTCAGAACCCAGTCTGATACACCTAACAGTTAGCTATATCACCCTAACCCTGGAGAGACAAGACAGAGGGGTTCAGAACCCAGTCTGATACACCTAACAGTTAGCTATATCACCCTAACCCTGGAGAGAGAAGACAGAGGGGTTCAGAACCCAGTCTGATACACCTAACAGTTAGCTATATCACCCTAACCCTGGAGAGACAAGACAGAGGGGTTCAGAACCCAGTCTGATACACCTAACAGTTAGCTATATCACCCTAACCCTGGAGAGACAAGACAGAGGGGTTCAGAACCCAGTCTGATACACCTAACAGTTAGCTATATCACCCTAACCCTGGAGAGACAAGACAGAGGGGTTCAGAACCCAGTCTGATACACCTAACAGTTAGCTATATCACCCTAACCCTGGAGAGACAAGACAGAGGGGTTCAGAACCCAGTCTGATACACCTAACAGTTAGCTATATCACCCTAACCCTGGAGAGAAGACAGAGGGGTTCAGAACCCAGTCTGATACACCTAACAGTTAGCTATATCACCCTAACCCTGGAGAGAAGACAGAGGGGTTCAGAACCCAGTCTGATACACCTAACAGTTAGCTATATCACCCTAACCCTGGAGAGACAAGACAGAGGGGTTCAGAACCCAGTCTGATACACCTAACAGTTAGCTATATCACCCTAACCCTGGAGAGAAGACAGAGGGTTTCAGAACCCAGTCTGATACACCTAACAGTTAGCTATATCACCCTAACCCTGGAGAGACAAGACAGAGGGGTTCAGAACCCAGTCTGATACACCTAACAGTTAGCTATATCACCCTAACCCTGGAGAGAAGACAGAGGGGTTCAGAACCCAGTCTGATACACCTAACAGTTAGCTATATCACCCTAACCCTGGAGAGACAAGACAGAGGGGTTCAGAACCCAGTCTGATACACCTAACAGTTAGCTATATCACCCTAACCCTGGAGAGAAGACAGAGGGGTTCAGAACCCAGTCTGATACACCTAACAGTTAGCTATATCACCCTAACCCTGGAGAGACAAGACAGAGGGGTTCAGAACCCAGCCTGATACACCTAACAGTTAGCTATATCACCCTAACCCTGGAGAGACAAGACAGAGGGGTTCAGAACCCAGTCTGATACACCTAACAGTTAGCTATATCACCCTAACCCTGGAGAGACAAGACAGAGATGGTGATTTCTCAACCATATCAATGGAGAGATATGGGGGTGGGTGGTGGTCTTCAAATAAAATGGTATTGTTCGCATACACTATATATATATATATATATATATATACACACAAAAGTATGTGGACACCCCTTCAAATTAGTGGATTCGGCTATTTCTGCCCTGCTAGAGCTGCCCCGGTCAACTGTAAATGCTGTTATTGTGAAGTGGAAACGTCTAGGAGCAACAACGGCTCAGCCGTGAAGTGGTAGGCCACACAAGCTCACAGAACAGGACCGCCGAGTGCTGAGGCGCGTAGCGTGTAACACTCACTACGAGTTTCAAACTGCCTCTGGAAGCAATATCAGCACAATAACTGTTCATCGGGAGCTTTATGAAATGGGTTTCCATGGCCGAGCAGCCGCACACAAGCCTAAGATCACCATGCGCAACGCCAAGCGTCGTCTGGAGTGGTGTAAAGCTCGCCGCCATTGGACTCTGGAGCAGTGGAAATGCGTTCTCTGGAGTGATGAGTCACGCTTCACCATCTGGCAGTCCGACGGACAAATCTGGGTTTGGCAGATGCCAGGTGAATGCTACCTGCCCGAATGCATAGTGCCAACTGTAAACTTTGGTGGAGGAGGAATAATGGCCTGGGGCTGTTCCCTTAGTTCCAGTGAAGGGAAATCATAACACTACAACATACAATAACGTTCTAGAGGATTCTGTGCTTCCAACTTTGTGGCAACAGTTTGGGGAAGGCCCTTTCCTGTTTCAGCATGACAATGCCCCAGGGCACAAAGCGAGTTACATACAGAAATGGTTTGTCGAGATTGGTGTGGAAGAACTTGACTGGCCTGCACAGAGCCCTGACCTCAACCCCATTGAACACCTTTGGGATGAATTGGAACGCCGACTGCGAGCCAGGCCTAATTGCCCAACATCAATGCCCAACCTCACTAATGCTCGTGGCTGAATGGAAGCAAGTCCCCGCAGCAATGTTCCAACATTTAGTGGAAAGCCTTCCCAGAAGAGTGGAGGCTGTTATAGCAGCAAAGGGGGAACCAACTCCATATTAATGCCCATGATTTTGGAACGAGATGTTCGACGAGCAGGTGTCCACATACTTTTGGTCACGTAGTGTATTTTGCAGATGTTATTGCAGGTGTAGCGAAATGCTTATGTTCCTAGCTTCAACAGTGCAGTAGTATCTAACTAAATGCTTATGTTCCTAGCTTCAACAGTGCAGTAGCATATAACTAAATGCTTATGTTCCTAGCTTCAACAGTACAGTAGCATATAACTAAATGCTTATGTTCCTAGCTTCAACAGTGCAGTAGTATCTAATTAAATGCTTATGTTCCTAGCTTCAACAGTGCAGTAGCATATAACTAAATGCTTATGTTCCTAGCTTCAACAGTGCAGTAGTATCTAACTAAATGCTTATGTTCCTAGCTTCAACAGTGCAGTAGTATCTAACTAAATGCTTATGTTCCTAGCTTCAACAGTGCAGTAGTCTCTAACTAAATGCTTATGTTCCTAGCTTCAACAGTGCAGTAGCATATAACTAAATGCTTATGTTCCTAGCTTCAACAGTACAGTAGCATATAACTAAATGCTTATGTTCCTAGCTTCAACAGTGCAGTAGTATCTAACTAAATGCTTATGTTCCTAGCTTCAACAGTGCAGTAGCATATAACTAAATGCTTATGTTCCTAGCTTCAACAGTGCAGTAGTATCTAACTAAATGCTTATGTTCCTAGCTTCAACAGTGCAGTAGTATCTAACTAAATGCTTATGTTCCTAGCTTCAACAGTGCAGTAGTATCTAACTAAATGCTTATGTTCCTAGCTTCAACAGTGCAGTAGCATATAACTAAATGCTTATGTTCCTAGCTTCAACAGTGCAGTAGTATCTAACTAAATGCTTATGTTCCTAGCTTCAACAGTACAGTAGCATATAACTAAATGCTTATGTTCCTAGCTTCAACAGTGCAGTAGTATCTAACTAAATGCTTATGTTCCTAGCTTCAACAGTGCAGTAGTATCTAACTAAATGCTTATGTTCCTAGCTTCAACAGTGCAGTAGTATCTAACTAAATGCTTATGTTCCTAGCTTCAACAGTGCAGTAGCATATAACTAAATGCTTATGTTCCTAGCTTCAACAGTACAGTAGCATATAACTAAATGCTTATGTTCCTAGCTTCAACAGTACAGTAGCATATAACTAAATGCTTATGTTCCTAGCTTCAACAGTGCAGTAGTATCTAACTAAATGCTTATGTTCCTAGCTTCAACAGTGCAGTAGCATCTAACTAAATGCTTATGTTCCTAGCTTCAACAGTGCAGTAGTCTCTAACTAAATGCTTATGTTCCTAGCTTCAACAGTGCAGTAGTATCTAACTAAATGCTTATGTTCCTAGCTTCAACAGTGCAGTAGTATCTAACTAAATGCTTATGTTCCTAGCTTCAACAGTGCAGTAGCATCTAACTAAATGCTTATGTTCCTAGCTTCAACAGTGCAGTAGTCTCTAACTAAATGCTTATGTTCCTAGCTTCAACAGTACAGTAGTATCTAACTAAATGCTTATGTTCCTAGCTTCAACAGTGCAGTAGTATCTAACTAAATGCTTATGTTCCTAGCTTCAACAGTACAGTAGCATATAACTAAATGCTTATGTTCCTAGCTTCAACAGTGCAGTAGTATCTAACAATATACGCAAATCCCAAAAAATAAAGAGAACGGAATTAAGAAATATTAGAACAAGCAATGTCATAATCCCGAATATAAATATGTATATGATGGTGTGTATCGACATTATGGACATCTTTCATGTCATGTTCCTGCCTAAAAAGAAGTGAATATCAGAATGTGTTGTTAACCATTTTATCAAGGTGTTCAATGGATCTGTGGATCTCTCCTTGAGCCTCATCATAGTAGGTGTAGCGGAACCGTTGGCCTGTGGGGAGGAGGGAAAGATATTAACCCTTAATCATACATTTACATTACTAATTGTGTATAAAATGGGAAATTACAAGGTTGTTAAATGTTGACCTCTAAAACAGCAATTACTAATGTCATTTTATAATTTTAGGAACCCTTGAAAAATATACTCTACCAGGTGGTTGAGTTGCCCATTAAAGGAATTATATTTAGTCAAAGCTAGCTATTATGGACAATGGATAAATATTGTTATGGGATTGTTTTATCTGTCATATCCATATTAGTATTTCCTGTCTGCCTGTTATCTTCAATATCTTTCACAATATTATTATTCAATACATGTAATTTTACTTGTACTAAGCATATAAACTGTAAATGCATTCATTTACATATACAGTGAGCACCAAAAGTATTGGGACAGTGACATGTGTTGTTTTGGCTCTGTAGTCCAGCACTTTGGATTTGAAATGATGCAGGTTAAAGTGCAGACTGTTAGCTTTAATGAGAGGGTATTTTCATCCATATCGGGTGAACCGTTTAGAAATTACAGCACTTTTTGTACATAGTCCTGTGACTCTACAAATTTGTTGGATGCATTTGCGGTTTGTTTTGGTTGTGTTGCAGATTATTTTGTGCCCAATAGAAATGAATGGTAAATAATGTATTGTGTCACTTTGGAGTCACTTTTATTGTAAATAAGAATAGAATACGTTTCTAAACACTTCTACATTAATGTGATGCTACCATGGTTACAGATCATCCTGAAATAATCGTGAATAATAATGAGTGAGAAAGTTAGATGCACAAATATCATATCCCCCAACAATGCTAACCTCTGTTGTTATTGTAATGGTGAGAGGTTGCATGTCTTGGAAGTATGATATTTGTTTGTAATTTTCTCACTCATCATTTAACTAGGCCAATCTTCCATTATAAGCAACTGAAGCACAACATTTATTAATGTATAATTTTTTTGATGATAAAAAAATAAAAATCTATGAAAATTAGAATACAAAATGAGTTTACCCTAATTGGGCAACTCAACCGGCTGGTTGTGTTTGCGATGCACCATCACACTTTAAGTCATGCAAATAACAATTATTTATGGCCTATACTGAGGCTAAAAAAATAAAAATAAACATTATTTTTGGGGTTTGTGACAGGAAATGGATGAAGTCAGACCAACCCTGAAGGAGAGGTTTGTCAAGGACACTGAACCACTGGTTCTATATTTACAACCCCTTTCACACAATAGTCCAGAACAAAACTGTGCTGGCTTTTCTTTTCACATGGTCTTTCCAGCACGGTTCCAGCAACTACGGTGGACGGATGTATAACCAGACTAGCTCAACTCAGTAGCGTGAACAGGGTATAATATTGATCCCTACCAGTCCTTCCCAGTACGTACCCCAGTGGCAGAAGTCAGAGGAGATGATGAACAAGTTGGAGGGATCAGCCAGATACCTGCTGAGCAGTTTCCCATAGTCCTGTTCTTTAGACTCACTGAGGGCTCCCACCAGCACCGGGACAATGCTGAGCTCATCTTTATGACTGTAGTAGGAGAGGGAGACAACACATTACAGGTCTGGGGACAGTTACCTGACCAAGATGGTAGAAGCCTTTACAGGGACTGAACACTTGTAAACCAACCTGATAAAAGGTTTGTGTGTGTTTATTAAACCAACCTGATAAAAGGTGTGTGTTTATTAAACCAACCTGATAAAAGGTTTGTGTGTGTTTATTAAACCAACCTGATAAAAGGTGTGTGTTTATTAAACCAACCTGATAAAAGGTGTGTGTTTATTAAACCAACCTGATAAAAGGTTTGTGTGTGTTTATTAAACCAACCTGATAAAAGGTGTGTGTTTATTAAACCAACCTGATAAAAGGTGTGTGTTTATTAAACCAACCTGATAAAAGGTTTGTGTTTATTAAACCAACCTGATAAAAGGTTTGTGTTTATTAAACCAACCTGATAAAAGGTGTGTGTTTATTAAACCAACCTGATAAAAGGTGTGTGTTTATTAAACCAACCTGATAAAAGGTGTGTGTTTATTAAACCAACCTGATAAAAGGTGTGTGTTTATTGAGTGGGTCCATTAATTGAGCATGCAGGCTTTACTTCGATTCGATTTTAGATTTATTAGGATCTCCAGACGCCAAATGGCAACAGCTACTCTGACTGGGGTCCGACACAGTAAACACCCAATCATTAGTAAACAACCAATCATAAACCATAGCAATGACGCAAACCATCCTGGGGCTGGGGGGAGAGAGAACTTCACAAACTGTAAAGGCAAACCAGTCATTAATGACCCACAGCTCTCCTCCATTTGTCATGAATTCCCTGCTGGCTCCCATCACCAGGCAAACAGGCCTAGAGTCTATGAATTACTGTACACTCCACTGATGGATGGCTTTGTGATGAATGAAGCAGGCAACCCTGACAGACTGAAGTGTGTTCCTCTGTCTTACCTCTCCATGGCTTTAGCAGTGTAAGGCAGGTGCATTTCAATGCTGTGCTCATCCTCGTCTGTCTGAAGACTCATCCTCTCAAACATCCCAGTCTTCCAGAGGTCAGCATAGACTAGAGAGAGAGAGAGAGGTGAGGATTCAATATGCACATTATTCCTGGTGAAGTGAGGCTTGAATTAGCATATGACTGCGAGTCATTCGTTCAGACGCACTGATAGGTGTTTGGCAGCGTCAGTGAGAATGCCTAGTTTCCAGTATCAATCAGATGGTTGGTCCCCTGAGGACATTTAAGGTTTTTCTTTGTGTCAAGCTTCACAGTTTTAAAAAAGGCACAATAAACACTGATTAGGGTTGTGACGGTCATGGAATTTTGGGATTGGCCAGCCAAATGGCCACGGTCTCCGTAATAACTTGAATAATAATAATAATAAGGAACATTTTCTCCTCTCCTTCGCTCCGGACTGCATGTGCTGCCATAGAGGGAGGAGAGAACGGGCGTCCCCATTCAACTCAATGATGGCATAATGGGTGGACTGAGGCCCTTGTGAGTGTACCCATAGGAGCAAAGCAGGAAGTAAAAGCAGGAAGTGTACCCATCAATCTGTGCTGTGATTGGTTGATTCAGTTCACCTGACATTACAAAAAAATACATTTAAATTGCATGAGCCACATCAGTTAACATGATTCGAATCAACATTCTATACTGAACAAATATAAAACGCAACATGTAAAGTGTTGGTCCCATGTTTCATGAGCTGAAATAAAAGATCGCAGAAATGTTCAATACACACAAAACGCTTATTTCTCTCAAATTTTGTGCACAAATGTGTTTACATCCCTGTTAGTGAGCATTTCTCCTTTGCCAAGATAATCCATCCACCTGACAGGTGTGGCATATCAAGAAGCTGATTAAACAGCATGATCATTACACAGGTGCACCTTGTGCAGGGGACAAAAGGCCTCTAAAAATGTGCAGTTTGGTCACACAACACAATGCCACAGATATTTCAAGTTTTGAGGGAATGTGCACTTGGCATGTTGACTGCAGGAATGTCCACCAGACATGTCACCAATTGAGCATGTTTGGGATGCTCTGGATCGATGTGTACGACAGCGTGTTCCAGTTCCTGCCAATATTCAGCAACTTCGCACAGCAATTGAAGAGGAGTGGGACAACATTCCACAGGCCACAATCAACAGCCTGATCAACTATGTGAAGGAGATGTGTCGTACTGCATGAGGCAAATGGTGGTCACACCAGATACTGACTGGTTTTCTGATCCACGCCCCTACTAAAAAAAAAAAAAAAGGATTTCTGTGACCAACAGATGCATATCTGTATTCCCAGTCAAATCCATAGATTAGGGCCAAATGAATTTATTTAAATGATTTCCTTATATGAACTGTAACTCAGTAAAATCTTTGAAATTGTTGCATGTTGCTTTTATATTTTTGTTCAGTGTACATTACCATGGAAATGATTGCATCACAAAACCAGGCAACCATTGAGTGTACCCATTGAAGCACATTATGTTGCATTCCATGTCTGAAATGTGCTGTATAAATAAAGCTTGATTTCACCATTCTAATTGCCAGGGTTAGAGGTTCCAAGCCTGTTCTATTCATTCTGTGTGCTGCTACTGCACTGCGTTGCCTAGGAAACCGAAAACTAGTTTGTTAGTTCCCTTGAGTTCAAAAAGGCTAACCACCCGAATCTGAACCGTCGACCGTGCCCTAGGGCATGTGGTTTCAGGACTGTCCTGTTGTCCTGTTGCCTGGGGGTGGAAACACGCAGACCAGTTATGAATAGGGGTGTAACGGTACACGGTATTCGTAACGAACTGTTCGGTACAGGGACGTCGGTTCGGTCCGCAATGCGGGTGGTCAAAAAGTTAATAGTATGTTCTCCACTGCTCAACAGTTAGGCTACCATTTAATAATCTGAATGGAGGTGTTATTTAACTGTAGGACAGGAAGAAAGCTCATGAACTCAATTAGCTGGCTGGCAAACTATCTTAGCCAACTAGCTTCTTTCGGTTTGATGCAGTCAAGACAGGTACTAGGTAATCCTACTGGATGATAAATAACCAAGCTATGACAAGCTAGACGTTAGTCTACTAGCGCAAGTCGGCTTGGTTGGTTGTTTCCTCTCCCACACACCTCAAGGCCCCTCCTCCGCCTGCTCTCCCTCGCTCTGCATTAGCTCTGGTTAATAAAGTAGCTTACAGATTTACTTTTCTGCTGCTTCCCTCACTCGGATCCGACTACGTCTATACGGAACTGGTCGTCCTCGGGCCCTGTTCGGAAAGGGTCTCTATATTGAAACATTTATTTACGTATATTTGTCCGGGTGGGAACGCCCCAGGTCCATTTCGGAACGGGTCCAGCTTCTTAGATCTCTTCTTGAGGCCCGCCATGACAACCCCCGTCACAACAGACGACGCCAGGAACACTGTGAATGTCGTCACAGAAACTGGACTTGGGCCCGGAATAAGGTGCTTTTTAATTTAGCGTATTTTGCCGAATGAACAAAAATGAACTACAGTAAATGTCGGAATGTCTTTTTTCCGCTGTACCGTAACCGTGACCCGTTTGGTGAACCGTTACACCCCTAGTTAATGAACTACTGTTCCCTGAAGGAGGATATAACATATTTTGGCCAGCGCTGTCAGCAGGGTTTGGGCTCGCTGAAGAGCGGTACTGAATTGAGGAAATGGATGCGAGCCCCACTATTATAGCCAGGAAGGCGGGGCATCAGAGGGAGGACTCACGTCCATTGGCCCGTTGGGCGTGATTTCAGTTTGCTTCAGGTGAATAGGTTTGGTCGTTGACTCCCCATAGTATGTTATACCTCGTTCCCTCCTTCAGGGAACAGTAGTTATATGCATACGTTTCTTGTTTTAGCAAGGCGCAACAACGTTTCATCACGTTGCCGCAGAAACAGACTCAACTGCACGATTGCCCGTCCGTCCCGTCTTGAGTCAGCTGCTCATAAAAAAATAATCATAAATGTAACGGTTATGGCGGTTATTTTATTTTTCATCACGGCCTTCATCCATAACCGTCGGTTACACGGTAATTGTGCCAGCCGTAACACTGACACATAAAAACTAGGATCTTTACCTTAGGAAATGCTAACTAGAAATGATCAATACCCTTCTGGTTAATCCTGAGGGGTTTTATAACCTTCAGCAGAGGACAGGGAACAGTGTACCTGGGTGTGTACATACCCTTCAGCAGAGGGCAGGGAACAGTGTACCTGGGTGTGTACATACCCTTCTGGTCAATCCGGAGGTCGTAGAGAGGGGTTTTATAAACCTCAGCAGAGGAGAGGGCACAGCGGGACAGAGGAACGTGGTGAGACGGACCCAGGATGAACACCCTGCGACTACAGGGGGGAAAGAGAGGACTCAGTCACCTCACTGACCTCAGTAGGACTCTGACTCACAGCTCAGTCATCTTGGACCAGTCATCTTGGACCAGTCATCTTGGACCAGTCATCATGGACCAGTCATCTTGGACCAGTCATCTTGGACCAGTCATCTTGGACCAGTCATCAGGCCATTAGTAGCCTTGGCTGCCCAGGCTTCGCTCATGTTGTTCCAAGATGAGGCCGTGAAAGCGGCTAGGCCAATACCGCTAACTACTGTCTGTCTGAGCGGCTAGGCCAATACCGCTAACTACTGTCTGTCTGAGCGGCTAGGCCAATACCGCTAACTACTGTCTGTCTGAGCGGCTAGGCCAATACCGCTAACTACTGTCTGTCTGAGCGGCTAGGCCAATACCGCTAACTACTGTCTGTCTGAGCGGCTAGGCCAATACCGCTAACTACTGTCTGTCTGAGCGGCTAGGCCAATACCGCTAACTACTGTCTGTCTGAGCGGCTAGGCCAATACCGCTAACTACTGTCTGTCTGAGCGGCTAGGCCAATACCGCTAACTACTGTCTGTCTGAGCGGCTAGGCCAATACCGCTAACTACTGTCTGTCTGAGCGGCTAGGCCAATACCGCTAACTACTGTCTGTCTGAGCGGCTAGGCCAATACCGCTAACTACTGTCTGTCTGAGCGGCTAGGCCAATACCGCTAACTACTGTCTGTCTGAGCGGCTAGGCCAATACCGCTAACTACTGTCTGTCTGAGCGGCTAGGCCAATACCGCTAACTACTGTCTGTCTGAGCGGCTAGGCCAATACCGCTAACTACTGTCTGTCTGAGCGGCTAGGCCAATACCGCTAACTACTGTCTGTCTGAGCGGCTAGGCCAATACCGCTAACTACTGTCTGTCTGAGCGGCTAGGCCAATACCGCTAACTACTGTCTGTCTGAGCGGCTAGGCCAATACCGCTAACTACTGTCTGTCTGAGCGGCTAGGCCAATACCGCTAACTACTGTCTGTCTGAGCGGCTAGGCCAATACCGCTAACTACTGTCTGTCTGAGCGGCTAGGCCAATACCGCTAACTACTGTCTGTCTGAGCGGCTAGGCCAATACCGCTAACTACTGTCTGTCTGAGCGGCTAGGCCAATACCGCTAACTACTGTCTGTCTGAGCGGCTAGGCCAATACCGCTAACTACTGTCTGTCTGAGCGGCTAGGCCAATACCGCTAACTACTGTCTGTCTGAGCGGCTAGGCCAATACCGCTAACTACTGTCTGTCTGAGCGGCTAGGCCAATACCGCTAACTACTGTCTGTCTGAGCGGCTAGGCCAATACCGCTAACTACTGTCTGTCTGAGCGGCTAGGCCAATACCGCTAACTACTGTCTGTCTGAGCGGCTAGGCCAATACCGCTAACTACTGTCTGTCTGAGCGGCTAGGCCAATACCGCTAACTACTGTCTGTCTGAGCGGCTAGGCCAATACCGCTAACTACTGTCTGTCTGAGCGGCTAGGCCAATACCGCTAACTACTGTCTGTCTGAGCGGCTAGGCCAATACCGCTAACTACTGTCTGTCTGAGCGGCTAGGCCAATACCGCTAACTACTGTCTGTCTGAGCGGCTAGGCAAATACTGCTAACTACTGTCTGTCTGAGCGGCTAGGCCAATACCGCTAACTACTGTCTGTCTGAGCGGCTAGGCCAATACTGCTAACTACTGTCTGAGGTAACTAAGGGCTGATAGCTCCTTCAGGGTGAAACAGGGCAGTCTAAGGTTTGATAAGGAGGGAAAATGTAAAAAATGCATTTCAAAACATCTCATTTCAATTTGATGATAGTTAATTGTCCATGAAAATTAATTTTGCTACAAAATGTGTTTTTATTTAGAAAATTGACTGAACATGGTTAAATTTAGACTTACGTGACAGAAGGGTCTATCTGTTTGTATGCGTGTGCAGAACAAGCGCCACAGTAGGTATATCCTGCATGCCTGAAAACACAGAGGACACCGTTACACAGACCCCCCACTGCCCCCTAGCACCACATAGACCCCCCACTGCCCCCTAGCACCACATAGACCCCCCACTGCCCCCTATCACCACATAGACCCCCCACTGCCCCCTATCACCACATGTACATTACAGTCATTCATATGCTGTTATCATATCATATTTAGAATGACTTCTGATGACAAGATGAGGCCTTTTTTAACGACCGTTATCAGAAACAACGACCAGTGGTGCTTACGGTGCTATGATTGCTCTAGCTGGTGTGACAGTGGACTGGGCTTGAGACAACCAACCTTCTAGTTGTGTATTCAGCTGGGAGCCTGTAGAACGGGAAGAGGGGGAAGAACACTATTAATGAATATCAAACTGCTGAACCCAATGGCTCTTACACGCATCATTAACTGCTATAGAGAGAGTCAGACGTTTTAAGTTCCTCGGCATCCACATCACCGAGGACTCGACATGGACCAACACCGTCACTCTTGTCAAAACAGCGTCTCTGCTTCCTTGGGGGCGGCTGAGGTTCGGCATGCTACCCCAGGTCCTCTCCAAATACTAGCGCAGCACCGTTGAGAGCATCGTCGCCAGTTGCATCACGGCCTGGTGCAGGAACTGCTCTGTCCACGACCGCAAGGCCCTCCAGCGGGTGGTGAAGATGGCCCAGGACATCACTGGGACCGTGCTCCCACCCATCCAGGACATCACTGGGACCGTGCTCCCACCCATCCAGGACATCACTGGGACCGTGCTCCCACCCATCCAGGAACATCACTGGGACCGTGCTCCCACCCATCCAGGACATCACTGGGACCGTGCTTCCACCCATCCAGGACATCACTGGGACCGTGCTCCCACCCATCCAGGACATCCCTGGGACCGTGCTTCCACCCATCCAGGACATCCCTGGGACCGTGCTTCCACCCATCCAGGACATCCCTGGGACCGTGCTTCCACCCATCCAGGACATCACTGGGACCGTGCTCCCACCCATCCAGGACATCACTGGGACCGTGCTCCCACCCATCCAGGACATCACTGGGACCGTGCTCCCACCCATCCAGGACATCACTGGGACCGTGCTCCCACCCATCCAGGACATCACTGGGACCGTGCTTCCACCCATCCAGGACATCTATTCGAAACGGTGCCAAAGGAAGGCCCGCAGTATCATCAAGGACCCCACACACCTCAGCCACGAGCTGTTCACTGCCTTACCGTCAGGCAGGCAGGCAGGAAGCAACTCACCTTAGTACACATCACCCCCCCCCCCCCCTTCCCCAAAACATCACCCCCCCCCTTCCCCAAAACATACCACTGCACAATTTAAAACACTTGCCCCCCCAATCCCCCCTTCCCCAAAACATACCACTGCACAATTTAAAAAACACTTGACCCCCAATCCCCCCTTCCCCAAAACATGTGTAAATCTTGGACTATAAATGGTTCCTTCCTGTATTATACTGATGCTAAAATGTCTATTCTATTCTACTGAGACATTCACTTTATGTTCGTGTTCATATCTTTTATTATTTCTTATTGTTGTTGCATTGTGGAGAAGGAACCTGCAGCCAGCATTTGGTTGGATGGTGTATTCCACGTGTCTCCTGTACATACAACTAGTAAAACCAAACACATTAGGTTGGAGTCTGTTTGTGCCATAATGCAAGTCCTTGTCATGCTAAACATTGTCTGGCATGGCAAGGAGTTGACATGACAGCACAGAATGATCTGGGACAAGGCTAATCAGAAGCTCATGTCTCAGACTGACTGAATCTGTATGGAGCAGCTCGCTGGCTTACTGGGGTATGATGCACCGATAGTGAACGACTGAATCTGTATGCAGCAGCTCGCTGGCTTACTGACTGAATCTGTATGCAGCAGCTCGCTGGCTTACTGACTGAATCTGTATGCAGCAGCTCGCTGGCTTACTGACTGAATCTGTATGCAGCAGCTCGCTGGCTTACTGAATGATTGTATGCAGCAGCTTCACTGGCTTTACTGACTGATCTGTATGCAGCAGCCGCGGCTTACTGACTGAATCTGTAATGCAGCAGCTCACTTGGCTTACTGACTGAATCTGTATGCAGCAGCTCCTGGTTACGGGGTATGATGCACGAGTGAACGGACGGAATCTGTATGCAGCAGCTCGCTGGCTTACTGGGGTATGAATGCACCGATAGTGAACAGTGTTTTTCCTTCAATCAATCCAATGCATTGAGCAAAGAGGAGTCAATATTTGTGAAGATAAATAATGAATGTCCTCGTCTGCCTAGACAATGTTTACTAATGAGTTGTGACGCATTAGGACTGCATGTGTGTTTGTGTTTAGGCCTACCATCGATGCACTGCTTAAATAATTCCGGTGAAACGAAATGCGGACAGACAGGAGCTAGCCTATCCCATCCTTCCTGATTTAACTGAAATGAGACAGACAGAGCTAGCCGATCCCATCCTTCCTGATTTAACTGAAATGAGGACAGACAGAGCTAGCCGATCCCATCCTTCCTGATTTAACTGAAATGAGGACAGACAGAGCTAGCCGATCCCCCCAAAAATGAAATATTATTTAGCTGCTAATGTCGCTATCATAAAGAATTACAAATGCCATGATGATCTGGACGAGACTGCCGAATCAAGGCAAAGGTAAGAATCTCTGGATTAACTATCTATTGTTAGCTAAATTTAGTAATTAATAAATCGGCTACATTTCTTTAAATGCACAACTTTGTGAACTGTCTTGTGCAAGTTTTAAATTGACACAATACCTGTTAGCAAAGGTGTCCTCTAGAGATGACGTGTAGGAGCTTGCAGGGATTTGTAGTTTTTCATCATGTCTACTTAGCATTTTTGAATCTCAGAGTAAATAGAGCCGACTATATTGATAAAAGTCACCTTGTCAGAGAGATTTAGATGGTTATCAAAACATCACGCCAGGGTAAGCCTACACGAAACACAGCCCTTATTTGAAGTGTTTCTAAAATTAATGGTGGACCGCTAGGTTTTATGGGTATTATGACACCTCCACTGTGGGGCTCTATTGTGCGCAACTTTTGACCACAGCACTATTCCCTATATAGAGGAGTGCACTATATAGGGAATAGGGTGCCATTCTCTGGTCTAAAGTAGTGCACTATATAGGGAATAGGGTGCCATTCTCTGGTCTAGAGGAGTGCACTATATAGGGAATAGGGTGCCATTCTCTGGTCTAAAGTAGTGCACTATATAGGGAATAGGGTGCCATTTGGGATGCATGGTGAATGATGTCACCTAATCCCACACCAGCAGAGCTCCTGGCACTCTGAGCTTTTGGGAAGCGCTCTGCTGATCACTGGCATTTAAGGCTACTTCCCAAATGGCGCCCTATTCCTTATGTAGAGTACTACCTTCCAGTTAATAGGGCGTTGGTCAAAACTAGTACACTATATAGGGAGCCATTTGGGACACATGCCTTAGAGAGCACGTCAACCCTTCCCCAATACACACACGTTGACAGGCCCCTGGTTAGAAAGCAGTTTAGGGGTTAAGTGCCTTGCTCAAGGGCACAATGGAGGATTAATGTCCCTTCAACATTACTTTTCTTCCCAATGTGACCCCCGACACATCATTGTCTGTCTGTCTCTTACCGGCTGGCTTCATGAGCCAGCACCTTGGGGTTGACTGGGCTGGAGCAGAGAGATAACAGGGAGAGACAGGTCTGTTCACTGGGCTGGAGCAGAGAGATAACAGGGAGAGACAGGTCTGTTCACTGGGCTGGAGCAGAGAGATAACAGGGAGAGACAGGTCTGTTCACTGGGCTGGAGCAGAGAGATAACAGGGAGAGACAGGTCTGTTCACTGGGCTGGAGCAGAGAGATAACAGGGAGAGACAGTCTGTTCACTGGGCTGGAGCAGAGAGATAACAGGGAGAGACAGGTCTGTTCGCTGGGCTGGAGCAGAGAGATAACAGGGAGAGACAGGTCTGTTCGACTGGGCTGGAGCCAGAGAGATAACAGGGAGAGACAGGTCTGTTCGCTGGGGCTGAGCAGATAACAGGAGGATACAGGTCTGTTCAATGGGCTGGGAGCAGAGATAACAGGGAGAGACAGGTCTGTTCACTGGGCTGGAGCAGAGATACAGGAGAGACAAGGTCTGTTCACTGAGACAGGTCTGTTCACTGGGCTGGAGCAGAGATAACAGGGAGAGACAGGTCTGTTCACTGGGCTGGAGCAGAGATAACAGTGGAGAGACAGGTATGTTCACTGGGGCTGGAGCAGAGATAACAGGGAGAGACAGGTCTGTTCACTGGGCTGGAGCAGAGATAACAGGGAGAGACAAGGTCTGTTCACTGGGCTGGAGCAGAGAGATAACAGGGAGAGACAGGTCTGTTCACTGGGCTGGAGCAGAGATAACAGGGAGAGACAGGTCTGTTCACTGGGCTGGAGCAGAGAGATAACAGGGAGAGACAGGTCTGGTTCGCTGGGCTGGAGCAGAGATAACAGGGAGAGACAGGTCTGTTCGCTGGGCTGGAGCAGAGATAACAGGGAGAGACAGGTCTGTTCACTGGGCTGGAGCAGAGATAACAGGGAGAGACAGGTCTGTTCACTGGGCTGGAGCAGAGATAACAGGGAGAGACAGGTCTGTTCACTGGGCTGGAGCAGAGAGATAACAGGGAGAGACAGGTCTGTTCACTGGGCTGGAGCAGAGAGATAACAGGGAGAGACAGGTCTGTTCACTGGGCTGGAGCAGAGAGATAACAGGGAGAGACAGGTCTGTTCACTGGGCTGGAGCAGAGAGATAACAGGGAGAGACAGGTCTGTTCACTGGGCTGGAGCAGAGAGATAACAGGGAGAGACAGGTCTGTTCACTGGGCTGGAGCAGAGAGATAACAGGGAGAGACAGGTCTGTTCACTGGGCTGGAGCAGAGAGATAACAGGGAGAGACAGGTCTGTTCACTGGGCTGGAGCAGAGATAACAGGGAGAGACAGGTCTGTTCACTGGGCTGGAGCAGAGAGATAACAGGGAGAGACAGGTCTGTTCACTGGGCTGGAGCAGAGAGATAACAGGGAGAGACAGGTCTGTTCAACAACTTGTGTTTGCGTCCCAAATCCCACCTTATTCCGTTTAATGGGCCCTCATTTTGACCAGGGACCTAAGGGCCAGAGAATAGGGTGCCATTGGGGAAATAACCTGTGTATCATTGATCAGTATATATGTTGTCCTCCTCACTACAACTGTATGCAAAGCAAACTGACAAGTCTCTAGCTGAGGTTATTAATCAAGCCCATGATTCACTAAAGGGTAATGTCATTGTGTTGACTGATGAGCTAAAAGATCTCGCTACATCCTCACTGTAAGATATTTTGAACACAGTCATATACTAACTCACTGAGATTCCTTCACATGTACATGAGAGCAAAATGTATGGAGTGTGATACACACTAGGCCCCTTGGGTTAGGGTTAGCTTCAATGCCAAAAAATAGATATACTTTTGCCTTTAATTTGACAAAAGCTGGATCCCTTCTAGCCACAACCCTAGACTAGTAGCTACATTTGGCTAGTAAGGGACTTAGTAGCAAAGCTTGCTATGCTAAAACAGAAGTCATGTGTGAGATGAGGGATAAGCTAGCTAGCTGGTCCCCAATGCAATTACAGCACTCAATGTGCTGCCTAGACCTACCCAGAGAGCCAGTCCTTTGTTCCAGGCGAGAGGGATTTATATTTTGACCAAACAACCAGGGAGGGCCAGTCAGCTAGCCAGATCACTGACAACTCGCTGCAGAAGTACTTTGGTGGAGTAGGGTAGGCTAGAATGATAAATAGTTGGTGAATCTTTGCTATAATGGTTAACTGACCGTTCACGGAGATGGTTGTCAGTGTTTTGACATAACTGCGGCAGGTAGCTTAGTGGTTAAGAGCGTTGTGCCAGTAACCGAAAGGTCGCTGGTTCTAATCCCCGAGCCAACTAGGTGAAAAATCTGTCGGTGTGCCCTTGAGTAAGGCACTTAACCCCAATTGCTCCTGTAAGTCGCTCTGGATAAGAGCGTCTGCTAAAATGACTAAAACATGTAAAAAATGTAAATAACTAGCTAATACTGTCGACAAGGGTTGCTAGCAATAACTACCTAGTTGGCTAGCCATTTCTTCCAATGATCAGGTCAAATAGCCCACCATTTAATCGCCAAACCATTTCCACTGGACGGCCATGGATACAAGTTCTGAGTGAACAAGACATGCATGGACCAAATCCTTGTACGTGTTAGCTAGCTTCTAACGCTTGCTTTTAAAATGACCCCAAAAAATCTGCCTACTCTGCTGTTTGATACAAGAAGTGCCAGCTGATGCAAGCTAGGTAGCAGACTGTTGATCTGAGCCATCTGATATAGAACGGCCTGTTGTTTTTTTACCTCACCTCTCTCCTACTCAATTAGCCAGCTAGCCAGCTAGCCACCCATCTAACGTTCGCTAGTTACTTTTCCGGACAACAACAGCCCAAAGAGAGACCTGTCTGTAGCTAGCTAGCAAGGTTTGTTAACTAGCTACTACCTCGGACAACAGCCCAAAGAGAGACCTGTCTGTAGCTAGCTAGCAAGATATGTTAACTAGCTACTACCTCGGACAACAGCCCAAAGAGAGACCTGTCTGTAGCTAGCTAGCAAGATATGTTAACTAGCTACTACCTCGGACAATAGTCCCATCGAAAGAGAGTTATGTAGCTAGCAAGGTTGGCTAACCAGGTTAGCTACATACCCGGACAGCAACCCAAACATTAGAGGCAGGTCTGCTGCTAGCTATCTTGGTTAGTTAACTAGTTAACCCTGGTCTCTGGCCCATTCCCCGGTTCAGTTCTCTACCTGAGGCGGTGTACCAACTGCCAGCGTGACTTGCTTCTCTGCAAACTGTTCGGTTCGACATCTTAGCTCCCGAGTTGCCTATCTTGGTAAGTCGGAACCTTGTCGGGTAGAAAAATAAAGAAAAACTCGGGGGAAAACTGACTAAAATGAAACCACCAATAAAAACAAAAGTCGGCTAGACAAAGGAGGAATGCAAAAAAAATAGTCAAGTTATCCAGACAGCTCAATTTAAATGATGAGAAAAGTGTGTTTGATAGCAGGCTACTTCAAAATAAGATCTTAAAAACGATGGCGTTAGTTACGGATGAACAAAAGCTCAATGCAGTTTGTCTGTTGGTTGCCAAAATAGCACTATTGACTTGACTAAAAACTGGTTTGGCGAAATCGGCCTAGCTAGTAGCAACTGTGCATCATAATCGACAAAACTAATATGGCTGGTTAACATACAGCAGAGATATTAGAGAAAATAGGAGATAGGAATCGTATTGGGCAATGGCTGAGAGACGTAGATCGCCTCACCCAGCAGACTGGCGACTAATTGCATTCACGTTGTCATGCCGCGTCACCCGGTTGCTAAAATGATACTCACGCAATCCCATTTTTTACATTATTTTTTATAAACCTTTATTTAACTAGGCAAGTCAGAGTTAAGAACACATTCTTATTTACAATGAAGGCCTACCAAAAGGCCTCCTGCGGGGACGCGGGCTGGGATTAAAACTAAATAAAATATAGGACAAAACACATCAAGACAATAGAAATGGCGCAGGAGGGGATGGCTGCAGTTTTATGGACTCTTATGGCGCAGGAGGGGATGGCTGCAGTTTTATGGACTCTTATGGCGCAGGAGGGGATGGCTGCAGTTTTATGGACTCTTATGGCGCAGGAGGGGATGGCTGCAGTTTTATGGACTCTTATGGCGCAGGAGGGGATGGCTGCAGTTTTATGGACTCTTAACCAACCGTGCTATTTTGTTGGTTTTTTCGCATTGTTTGTAACTTATTTTGTACATAATGTTGCTGCTACCTTCTCTTATGACCTAAAAGAGCTTTTGGATTGTTATTTTACTGCTGCTCCTTAATTATGTTACTTTTTGTAAATTATTTTTTTGGTATTCTTTCTTAAAACTGCATTGTTGGTTAAGGGCTTGTAAGTAAGCATTTCACTGTAATGTCTACACCTGCTGTATTCGGCGCATGTGACATAAGATTTGATTTGACACCACAACACTACATAAAGAGAGACCTAAAACAACACCATAGCATGAAATGGTCCACCCACGCAGACTGTGTGGTGAAAAAGGCGCAACAGAGCCTCTTCAACCTCAGGAGGCTGAAGAAATTCGGCTTGGCACCTAAAACCCTCACAAACTTTTACAGATGCACAATTGAGAGCATCCTGGTATGGCGACTGCACCGCCCGCAACCACAGGGCTCTCCAGAGGGTGGTGCGGTCTGCCGAACGCATTATCGGGGGCAAACTACCCGCCATCCAGGACACCTACAGCACCCGATGTCACAGGAAGGCCAAAAAGATCATCAAGGACATCAACCACCGAGCCACTGCCTGTTCACCCCGCTATCATCCAGAAGGTGCATCAAAGCTGGGACCGAGAGAATGAAAAACAGCTTCTATCTCAAGGCCATCAGACTGTTATGAAAAATGTATGCACTCACTAACTGTAAGTCGCTCTGGATAAGAGTGTCTGCTAAATGACGTAAATGTTAAATAGCCATCACTAGCACATTAGAGGCTGCTGCTGCCTATTGAAATCACTGGCCACTTTAAGAAATGGAACACTAGTCACTTTAATAATGTTTACAGTCACTTTAATAATGTTTCCATATCTTGCACTACTCATCTCATATGTATATACTGCATTCTATTCTATAATATTCTACTGTATCTTAGTCCATGCCGCTCTGTCATTGTCATTGCTTGTCCATATATGTATATTTTCTTAAATTCCATTCCTTACTAGTTTTGTGTGTATTAGGTATATGTTGTGAAATTGTTATATATTACTTGTTAGATATTACTGCACTGTCGGAGCTAGAAGCACAAGCATTTCGCTACACCCGCTATAACATCTGCTAAACACGTGTATGTGACAAATACAATTTGATTTGGTAGCAACACAACATGGCAGCAGCACAAAACATGGTACAAACATTATTGGGCACAGACAACAGCACAAAGGGCAAGAAGTTGGAGACAACAATACATCACGCAAAGCAGACACAACTGTCAGTAAGAGTGTCCATGACTGAGTCTTTCAACGAAGAGATGTAGATACAACTGTCCAGTTTGAGTGTTTTTTGCTCAAAGTCAGGGTATAAATCGAGAAACCTTTTCCTTAAAAGTACATAATGTCACGATTCAAAAGCTATACGATATTACGATTTATAATGTTATTGACGAAATTCATGCTAATGTTGGGTTCTTGAGCTGGAGACGAATTGACTTCCATTCACTCCTTGTCCCAGAATCACCCAGAATGCACCGCGCAGCCCATTGACGACATACGATATCAAGGGTGTTTCCCATCTCCTCAAAAGTATCTCTGCATACAGTCACAGCAAAGATTTGGTCACAGGAAGTAACTAGGAAACTCGGCCATTTCCGACATGCTGATTCGTTGAACGCGGCACGTGTAGAACTACAACCAGGCAGCGTGTCGGACATGTCCAAGTTTCCTAGTTCCAACCAGCATGCATCAATTCCTTCCGTCCACAGGCAGCGTGTCGGACATGTCCAGGTGTCCTAGTTCCAACCAGCATGCATCAATGCCTTACGTCCACAGGCAGCGTGTCGGACATGTCCAGGTGTCCTAGTTCCAACCAGCAGGCATCAATGCCTTACGTCCACAGGCAGCGTGTCGGACATGTCCAGGTGTCCTAGTTCCAACCAGCATGCATCAATGCCTTACGTCCACAGGCAGCGTGTCGGACATGTCCAGGTGTCCTAGTTCCAACCAGCATGCATCAATGCCTTACGTCCACAGGCAGCGTGTCGGACATGTCCAGGTGTCCTAGTTCCAACCAGCAGGCATCAATGCCTTACGTCCACAGGCAGCGTGTCGGACATGTCCAGGTGTCCTAGTTCCAACCAGCATGCATCAATGCCTTACGTCCACAGGCAGCGTGTCGGACATGTCCAGGTGTCCTAGTTCCAACCAGCAGGCATCAATGCCTTCCGTCCACAGGCAGCGTGTCGGACATGTCCAGGTGTCCTAGTTCCAACCAGCATGCATCAATGCCTTACGTCCACAGGCAGCGTGTCGGACATGTCCAGGTGTCCTAGTTCCAACCAGCAGGCATCAATGCCTTACGTCCACAGGCAGCGTGTCGGACATGTCCAGGTGTCCTAGTTCCAACCAGCAGGCATCAATGCCTTACGTCCACAGGCAGCGTGTCGGACATGTCCAGGTGTCCTAGTTCCAACCAGCAGGCATCAATGCCTTACGTCCACAGGCAGCGTGTCGGACATGTCCAGGTGTCCTAGTTCCAACCAGCAGGCATCAATGCCTTACGTCCACAGGCAGCGTGTCGGACATGTCCAGGTGTCCTAGTTCCAACCAGCATGCATGCATCAATGCCTTACGTCCACATTGTCGAGGCTGCTAAGGGGCGGCTGCGTGGATTGGCTGCTCGAGGATAATACAGAGGAACGATTCGTTAAAATGTTTTGTAGGCGTGTAGAAAGAGTGGGTATGCCATAGAGGTCTATGGGATGTGCTGGGTTTGGCTCAGTTCACGCATATATTATATATTTCTTGATTTTCCCTCATGTAAAACTGGAATAGATATGATTATAAAAGCATAGTTATGACGTTTAGAACCGATTCAAAAATAACCCTTTTGCCGTGACATTGTGTATCGCAATGCCGTGACCCGGATTCGAACCGGGGTTGCTGCGGCCACAACGCAGAGTACTAACCACTATACGATCACGGCGAGCTACCAGGGCTTGAGCAAACGTGGGAGATATTCCCGTTATAGTACTCGCCTGCACCGAATTTTGATGAAGATGATTGATTGTACTGTAAGGAAATCGTTGTACAAGGCTGATTTTACCGAATGCAAACCGTGCCTTCTTCGGGACAAACTGTGATGAATTTAAGCGAAACCAAGGCGACATGGAATAATCCACGTAAAAGATTTAGGATTGGTCATATCTGTGACTAGGGTTGCAGCGGCAGAGTTTATGTAAGGTGACCAACACGAACAACAGAAAACCAACAGCTATTTACACCACTGTCAATTCCATGTAGTTTGTTTTGTATTTTTTATAATACTGTACAATGGAAATAAAACCATGTATTTGGTGTTTTATAGGCATCAAAGCACTTGATGCGCGTGAATTTTCACACTAGCAATGATTTAGCTGATAGTTGCTTTATTGAGGAAAGCTTTATTACAATGACTGATATGTGGTTGTCGTAAGAATACAGAATCACTCACAACGTCGCTCAAAATATCAGACTTTTGAAGTAAGGCATGTATGTTTAATGTGTTTATATGGGGGAAGAAACACTCTGTAACGTAGTCAATTAGAGAAACAAAAAAATACATGTTTGTTCAACAAAATTGTATCATATATATAAAAAAAGGAATCAGTACACACCAGCTGGTACACCTACAGTATATATATATATATTTATACACACTACCAGTCAAAAGTTTGGACACACCTACTCATTCAAAGCTTTTTCTTTATTTTTACTATTTTCTACATTGTAGAATAATAGTGGAGACATCAAAACTATGAAATAACACATATATAATAATGTAGTAACCAAAAAAGTGTTAAACAAATCAAAATATATTTAGATTCTTCAAATAGCCACCCATTGCCTTGATGACAGCTTTGCACACTCTTGGCATTCTCTCAACTAGCTTCATGAGGTAGTCAACCTGGAATGCATTTCAATTAACAGGTGTGCCTTCTTAAAAGTTAATTTGTGGAATTTCTTTCCTTCTTAATGCGTTTGAGCCAATCAGTTGTGTTGTGACAAGGTAGGGGGGTATACAGAAGATAGCCCTATTTGGTAAAAGACCA